TCGCATGTACTTTTTGCTGACCGCGCTCGTGCCCATAAATAATTCTGCTCTCCTTCATCACATTTTATTCATTGGGAGCACATACAGTCAACTGCAACCCATCTCGCAAGGTAAAACGCGTAAAAATCACGAGTGATGCAATTTGACAAGCACGAAAAGCTGCACACTGCACGTAACCCCTAATTCGGACGCCAAGTTTTCGATTTTTTTCTTTTTCAAGTGTTTTTGTTGTTTTTCGTATTCTTTTCTTTGCATTGGATGATATCCACTACTGGGATGCGATAAAGCGATTTGTGAGCCAGGGGTTGCACAGAGACCGCAGGGCGGTGTGACTGTCAGGGAGCGATTTTGTTTATGGTGTTCTTGAGGGCTCTTGTTGCTTTTTTCCTTCATTGAGGAATTACTTATCAGCTACTGTTTCATAATTGATCAGCAATTATCCTTGACACTTTTATCGCGGGAGCTGTCTTTAACGTTAAGAAGTTACTCCCTGTCAAAGGTGTATATTTTTGCTTTGCTTTTTGCTATATAATCTATCTTGGTGCGCTGCTGTTACATTAACAACTTGTTCTTGTATAAAAACCTCAGGCACATAGCTTATATCTGGAAATTTTCAAAGTTCAGATGGCAGCCCCATGGTGAAAGGTCAAATCGAGATATGAAGGCACAAAACGATATCCTGCATTAGGTTCACACACCTGTGAACTCTCAATGTAGCCCGAAAAATGACAGTGCAGTTCATTTCCATCTGCGAACATGAATACCCCCACAGAAAGTTTATCCATTTCAAAGTAAAAAAAATAGTACTCATCCAGTCAAGCGAGATATTTGATTAAGCAAAAAAGATTTCAAGAGAATGAACGAATCGTGGCAGTCGAACATAAAGCTCACCTTAGTGTCCGCCAGTCGAATAGCTACTGCTGGATCTTCAAGCACCTCTTTCAGAGAGTGCTTGAAACCACTACTAGAATGCGTCAGCATGAATTTCCCTCGTTGCTCCGTTGTAATCTGAAATCATAAGACATTACATAAAAGATACCTGCTGATGTGATAAATGTCCGTTTGCACCTTTTTGCCTTGTGCGTCAGGCACCTTTTTGCCTTGTGCGTCAGCATACTTCAACAAATGATCCATGAACTGCTCCTTTAGAAAGCCTCGACTTGCGATCAGTACGCATTTTATAACCTGCAAAATATTTCAACTTCTATTAAAAATTGCACAAGGAAAGTTATCGCGGGAGCTAATGCAAGTTGACAAAAGAAAAAAAAAATCGCAATCAAGTCAACTTCAAAACTGCTTTGCAGGACGCTATTCTTCGACCCTTCAATTGCTTGATTTCCTAGAGCACTTCTCTTATTTTCTGCTCCCATCCACCAAGTGAGTGTGCGCCCTTCGGCAAGAAAAATCTCTAGACAGAGTGAGAACCTCAGAATAGCAGGGGCCTCCCCTGAAAGCCCCGCAAGCCATGATGGTCCCTGGCCGCTATTTTCGAGAATACTTCAGCTGTTGGGCTTATCGAAAAAAAAATCAATAACAATTACGAAAAAATCTCATTGTATGGCATCCTCCAAATTTAAACAATCACTCTAAGGTCCTTTATCCTTATAACATAAATACTTATTCATGACAAATAAGAATAAAATATACCGGAATACTGGAGCTGCAATAAAAATACCTATATGAGTCATGAAGTTTGAACGTAATGAACAACTCACGTTGAAATTGACATGACGCAAAAATGCTGCCGAGACAGCGTCAAGAAACCTCTGAATGCCTTTTTCGTGTTGAGATGTGAAGCCTTTTCGCTTTCGTGGGATCTGGATTAGAACGAAGGAGTAAAGACACAGTATCAGCAAAAGTGGAGACATTCCACGAAACACGGCAAGTACCTGCATATCAATCTTTGCTCGCACTAAAGTCATGGCAGGAGTGATAAGGCAGACATGAGCGATTCCTTCATGAAGAACAACAGCAGCAACATCTGCCTGAGCCGCGGGATCAAGGGCAGTGTCCAGGCGTTCTTTAAAATGGTACAGATGCATTTTACAAAATTTTAATCGTTAAAAGTGTAATTGACGGGGCGTGCCATAGTGACGTGGATTTCGGAGAGCGCTAACTCATTCTCCACCAATCGTTGCTCCCCTCATCTGGCAGCGACTAAAGGAAAACGAGCTGGCGCCGCGCGAAAACCCGTATCACACTGATACTCCCCGTTGAGGACCGTATGTAGTGGATTACTTCAAAAAACAAAAAAAAGCTGGATGAACCTATATCGATTGTATCCCATTCAGTTTTTTCCAACGTGAACTTTCGATTTGGCTCCAGATCAAGGGTATGGTAAGCCCCGAGTTTTACCAGATCGTTCTCTTGAATGTTTCGACCCTGAAAAGCACTTCTGCATCACTGTATGTACAGTTGCACGGTCACAATTTTAACTTTCAGCGATAGAAGACACTTGTCTATCTCAGAAATTCCCATTCAGTCCAGCGCGCTGAACAGCTGATACTGCCTTGTCTACAGTTTTTTTTTCGGCATAGATGCACGAGCTGGTACGTTACCTATTAAGAAATAGATGACGTGGGGCGTAATGACGTCTTCAGACGTCATTGACGATTATGCAATAAAGGTTTCCTTGTCATTAGCGGGCTATGTGACCCACGTGAGTCACATCTCATCAATGTTGGACAGCAGGTCTGGAAGGGAACGAACCTATGCTATATCTGCACCCAGTTTTCGTGATTACATTGAAGAAACGTACTTGAATTCTCAATTTGGATGTTTCAAAAAAAACAAAAGAAACTAACTTTGAGATGAAGTGCATTTGCTCCAGGATCAAAATCAATAGCTTCAACCTGTACCGTAAGTACAGTGTGCATTCGCTGGCTAGATGTTGTTCCAGTTGATGTTTCAGTGACCACCTACAGATAAGAATTCTCGTTGAATGAAAAAACGCGCAAATTAATGACACTAAAAGTAATGGCTGTGGTTTAGTGAATGCGATGTGGCCTATACAATGACTTGCGGAGGGTACTTGACGTAGAAGCTAGTGTTCTCATCCTCCAGGGCAAATAGATTACCAGCTGAAGCCGATCCTGGATCTGAGACCGGGACCGCGCACGTGGTAGTCGTACGGCTTGCCACTACTACACCTCTGCCTCCAACCTTATACCCCAGAGAACAGGGTAAATGGGCTTTGTATTTCGGATAAACAGGGTAGCTGGAACGCCGTAATTTGAGAATGAGGAAAAGCTCATTGAGCTATAGAGAGGCTGGTTCATTATATGTCCGCATTCCAGTAGTTCAAAGACAATTCCTGCGGTCAAGTGTTACGGGTAATAGGAGTTCAGTTACGAACCAGTGGCCGATAAATGACTCCCAAGAAGAGAAGGAAGCAAAAGAAACCGTGAGAATGCCCTGAACAAAACCCTCCCTGACTGTCACACAGCCTAACTGTACGAGTTCCCCAGACTGACTGGAACTCGACACCCTGCGGCCTCTGTGCAACCTCTGGCTCATAACTCTTTTCTTCATATCTTCCAGTACGCCACTGACAAGAGAGGGAAAAGAGCCGCGGTGTTCAGTTGGATTTCTTAGAATAAAGAAACCTCTCTAGATTAAGGAAATAGTTTCTGCAAGATCATCGTCCCTGACGAGTCGTGAGACGTCATGCGACGTCATGGCATACCCTAACAGGTTCAGGAAAACAGGATCTTACCTTGCGAATCGTTTTACTGCGGACAACATCACCAACACGGACAAGGTTGTATATATGCCACATATCCTCGGAGTCTTCCGGAATGAGGGCGACATACCTAAAATGTAGAGAATAAGGAACAAACCATAAAGGATGATGGATAAAGCCTTCACCGTTTATCAATCCCTTCGTGGGAAGCGGGACGTATTCTACTTCCATTCAAATCGCAATGGCTTACTGACTGCTATGTAGCCCGGTCAGCCGAGCCGGAAGGTAGATGGCTTGGTTGCCCTCAGCGGGAGTCGACGCGGGACTGCGCGAGAGGTAGGCCAGCTATTTGTCACTACACCACCTCCGCCTCGCTAAATCATATTAGGTTGTACCAAAAGTTCATGACATTTTCGAAATTCAAAGTTTATCAATGAGAAGGCCAATTTTTATCGGCAAATGCTGTACTTCTCGGCAACTGGTTGTTGAACCACCAAGCTAAGCGCCGGGTTGCCTTGCTTCCAGAACCTTTTTTGAGTTCCGGTTCCGAAAGACACCTGGGCTCTCTTTGAGGTCAATAAGTAATCGCGTTTTTTAGCCTACAAGATGGTCGCCTGAGGTCAGTATTAGATTAGCATTAGAAGAGAACTTAAGTTAGGGCTACACAAATCTGTGACTGAATTCCCTGCTAACAAGGGAAGGATACCAACTCGTCCTGGCCATTCAGAATGAGATGTATACTCCTAGGAGCGTCTCCGGATGCTGATATCAGATCTGACTTCCAAATCTGCTAAACGATTCTGGGTGGAGAGTTACGGACCTTTTTTGCTACCGTGCTTAACCATTGCGGTGCGACCCCTGCCCATGCTTTGCGCTCGTAAACCCCTCGTGACCCAGCTGCCGCCGTGGCTCGATGGCGCAGCAGGTAAGTGGATGGCTTCATAGTAGTGAGACGGAGGTTCAAATCCTTGATGCATTTCGTAGTTTTGCTTTTTCTTGAAACGCATGCTAAACACTTGGGAAGTAGTTTTGCGTACCTGTCCGACCACCACCCCTCCCTGCCCTTCTTATTAGGGCCTTATTGTGCGACTTTTCAGGGGTTTTATTTTAACTTCAGTGAAAGCATTCATTTTGATGGTGTTGGCGTGACAGCTTCATTCGAGGCATATATTTTCGTATTTAATGGGAAACATCAAAGGCTTGGTCCACGATCAGGAATAAAGTTGGAAATATGGTGTCGCGAGGGTAGTGGTCCGTTGTACGTGGTTTACGGCGAAAAATTGTTAGGAGGGGTGGGCCTTTAAACACAACATAGCTCCAAACGAGGACATCCTTTACCAGTCTCGGCTGGTTCCAGATCGCTTTCAAAAGCCCATCATCCAATGAAAAACGAGGCTGCAGGACGAAAAAGCATGAAAATCGTAAGCTCACTTGTAAGCTCGGTGGAGTTCTTATAGTGAATAAGCTGTGTGGATGAGGGCCGTAGTTAGGAGATGGGCTCACTGGGCACGTACAAAGTGGCTTGAAATGGGGTTCTATCTAATTGTAAGGCGGGTGACGAGTTTTTTCTGCCTTTTTTCATTACCGAGTTACACAGCACATTGTCGTCTAGTCTATGCGAACCCCTAATGCACTATCTGTGATTGCGATTTATCGCAGGTTGTGCCTTTAAGCGAGCACAGTGTGATATCCCAATACAAAATGGTTAGAGCAAAAAAAGTTCTTCACAGTGTGAGCTGCGAATAAAAAAATTTCGCTGCAACCATTATTCTCACAGATTCCCTCCAGATGATATGTAATGCAATATTGGAGAGAACTCTCGAACTCGTCTGGATGAGTGTCAAGGTAACCTGCTGAATACCAGGATTAAGAAAGAAATTGTTCAAATCTAGATGCTCTGAAGGGATCTCCAGATGCCAAAAGGATCGTATGTTCGTCTCCACAACCTACTTCCCTCGCAGTCGATTATGTCGGTGTTACTACAGGGCGGTTCGCGTCAGAAAGGAAGGAAACCTTCTGCAATCTCTGCTTTCGCGTGGGGTGGAATAGTGTGATAATACGATATATAGTCGGCAGAGACACACAAATTTCCTTCACTAGTTTTGATAGCAGATCCGGCCAGAACTGATCGCAGACGTGATGGTGGACAGGTCGCGAAAGATATGCTTGTATTGGGCTTAAGGTGTGAGTGAAGAGAGCTACCAGAGATGACGAATTCTTTCGTTGGCCACACACGTTGTCATCCTATAGGATGATGAAATCTCGCAGTTCACGAGCTCCAAGCAGATATGCATGTGTATTTGGTCCCTTGCTTGAGCTAGTTAGGCAAAAGTGTAAGTTTCCACGAAAATCGTTCGCGGGGCTCAATAAGTAGCAGGGAGGGGGTCTTGGTGGTCGGACAGGTACGCAAAACTACTTCCCAAGTGTTTAGCATGCGTTTCAATAAAAAGCAGGAACTACGAAATGGAGGTCAGAGATGTCAAACGCGCTGCCGGGTCGTCAGCTTACTACGAAGCCATCCACTTACCTGCTGCGCCATCGAGCCACGGCGGCAGCTGGGTCACGAGGGGTTTACGAGCGCAAAGCATGGGCAGGGGGTCGCACCGCAATGGTTAAGCAGCATTTGGAAGTTCAGTATCTGATCCAGCACTAAGGTCCGAGATTCTTAACCGAGGACGCTCTGTGGTATTCATTGCGTCTGTGTGAATGAGCCAGCGAGTTGGGTATCTTCTTGTAAAGTTGAGGTTGAGCAGTGGTTAGTTTGAACGCATTTGACCTGAGCTGTGGTGGAGAAGACAAACGTGTGTTTTGGGGCCCAAATGGGTGGGAATTTCATTTTTCATACCACAGCGCTTCTACCCCAGAGCTTAGAAAATCCCTTCGGGTAATCCCGACACATACACAGTCCATCTGCCCTACTGGATTAATAGGATTGCGCGACCATTTCAGCCCTTTTTGGGAGGATCTAGTCATTGGCGCTTCCAGGAGTGATTCACCTGGAGACGCTTTCCTCCATATCCAGTTACAAAGCTCTTCAAGCAGTCAGTATGGCGGGAGCGGGAGAAATGTTGTGGACAGTATCCACATGCTCTCCCCCTTGAGTATAGGACTCATGAGAAAAACTGTTAACAATCCGTAACTTCCATCCTTCTAAGGGTGGTTTGGTACCTCCCTCACCTGTTGTGGGTGTGGTAATCCTGTGAGTTCGAGTTAGGACAGCTAGCGGCGGATTTATACGAATTGGATTTCAATTCTAGAAGCACACGTAGGCCCGAATTCAAGCAAGTGGACCTCCTTGACGAAGTATTTTATCAGGTAGAAGTCACTCTAGAGAAAATTCTCGGGCCATGTCGATGGTGTGGTTCAGTGCCGTGCTATAGGGGGGCAGCATCAAGACCCAAACTAGAGCAAATGCCGCGTGTGGCTCCAACCACGTTGTGGCTTGGTGGAATTCATATAGCGAAGTGTGTCGAAAATGATGAATTTCAATTACCGTTTTGGATATGAGAACAGCGACTGCGAGGGACGGTAAAGAACTGTAGGTTACTTATACGCTTCCCACAGACCAAATAACTGGATCTCGAAATAGCTTGAAAAGATCCGGTGTGAGATTCAAAAAAATGTCATGGACTTTTCAAACAACCTATTTATGACCATTTGATTAAGTCCGCTCCGTGTCTTCCCTCGTTTCGAAATTCTTCGGAGCGACGAGATTGTGAAATCTACGATTGTGAAACCTTTTAAGATTTTTTCGCTTTATTTTCAACGTTTCCCTTTTTTCACAAACAGTGAATTACAGAGGAGAAGACATCAAATAACGTTCGGAACTTACCCCGGTCCGTTCTTTTCTATTCCTCGTTTTATGAGTTTCATATTGAAAATGTGGTACGGATATATCTGGAAAAAGGTGGGTTTACCAGTTTAAAAGAGTCAGCAGAAGTTGCCGTACAGTAAGGTAAAAGGCAAATTACTAAGAAAAACTTACCCAACATATAACCTGCTCTTTCAGAGCACGTCTTGACTCACTCAACGTCAAGTAAAGATAGAAGTCGTCACGCAAAAACACTACCAGCTGGCTCGTGTAATTGCGGACCAAGACAGCATACCGTAATCTCACGCCAATTTTATTCCGCCATGATGAATTTTTTATTAATGTTTGTGTGTGGAAAACGAGATTAGGGACTGGAAAGCTGTGATTTCGTCCGAATTCGTAACTGCTTTCACACCAGCAACAGGTCTAGGTTGTTCACTACAACAAAGAAAACTAGGTTATGCACATAGAGCAGTATGAGCGAAGTTTCCACCACACTCCTTCCCCCTTGCACACAGAAACCGAAATTTTACCGAATTTACTAGAGAAAGTACCTAAAAACAATAATAGGGTGTGGACCTACCAACTACGTCATTATCTCGTCTCCCTTTCTTACAGTAGTGGTGCAGTAGTAAGGGTAGAATGCGGCTGTTTTTTTTTTGGTATAAAGTCAAGTGAAGAGTGGGATGATACGCCGACTGTGTAGAGCAGGCAGCAGATGTTCGAGCAAAAGCGATATTTGTGTTCCGGGGTACACTACCCTGAGGGGAAGGGCTTGGCCAAATCTACATCGAGGAAAACTTTCGATAGAATTGAAGCCGGAATCACGGAGAGTGGAGCAGTAAAAGGTGAATAACTCTACAGTGAGTTCATTGTAAAGCCTTGAAGACAGTCTCTGCGCTTAACAAATTCGTAGGCGCTCCTTCCTTGTTAGGCAGCGTTCAGACTTCGCGACGGCAGCGCTTCGGTCGCGCGTTCGACGCGATCAATGCAGTCGAAAGCATGCGCATCGATCGCGTCGAACGCGCGACCGAAGCGCTGCCGTCGCGAAGTCTGAACGCTGCCTTAGGCAGCGTTCAGACTTGTCGCGCTTCAATTGTCGCGCTGCAATTGTACCAGACCCCAGCTTCCCTTTATGTTCTTTCTTCCGGTATTCAACCCCTTTTCACTGTTTCTCATTTCTACCTGATTCTTAGCTCCTCTTTTTCACTTTGACATTGAATTTTAATGTAGTTTTTGATACAGGACACTGTGGTAATGATTTTGTATACCGTTTCAAAAAAAC